TATAACTTTGAGATTCTTACTGAAATTAGGAATAATATGAGAAATATTAAGTCTGAATTGTATTTTAGGGGTGTTTGGCTGTTCCTTTTAAAGATGGTTTTTGGGGGAGGGAATGACTTTGAGATTAGAGATTCTTACTGAAATTAGGAATAGTGCGAGAAATATGAAGTCTGTGTTTGTGCTGTGTGGTAGTGGTGGACTCCTGAGCAATCCCTGGTGATTCAGGGCTGGGAGGGATGTTGGGAGGGATGTGGGGAGGGAGGAGCAGACTTTGGGATCAGTTCTCCTCAGCCTGGATGCTGTGGCTGCCAGCTCCCAGTGCATCCTCTCCTGCTCCATGTGCATGGATTATTCTCTCAGTCCCACCACTCTTCCTAACAACTTGGCCACTCCATCAGCAATTCAGAAAACTTCCTGGGATCTAAAGATCAGTTCCTAAATCCTCGAGTGATCCCCTAAACAATCAAGTTCCTCTCCCAAGGGGACAGGATGTTCCTAAGCTCAGAGCTGGTCAGCAGCTGACTGCAGACTGGGCTCAGCTTTGGGCAGGACATCCAGGTCCTGATCCCAGTGCTAACCCTGTCCCTGGAGCACCTTCCAGGGAATTCTGCAGATTCCCTGAGCAGGAAGAGAGGGGGGAGCCCCCAGCCCCTCCTGCTGCAGGTGTGACCCTGGGAGGGGCTGGGCTGGTCTCCAAAAGGGCTCATCCAGAGCGGCTTCCAAGCCACATTTTCCAAAATAAGCGTGGATGTGGTTTCCAAAGGCAATTCCAGCAGGGAGGGGATGTTCTGACAAAAGAACCAGCATGGTAAAGAATTCCTGCTGGAATTCCATGGGAATTTTTGGCACCTCCTGTTTGTCAGGAGCCCAGAAAACATAATCAGATGATTCTATTAACTTTTTTTAATAATAACCCCACTGTTTTTAAACTGCATCATATTAGCAACATGCTCCTCAGCTTGATGCTGAGATTTTGTAATTTGGTTTAAAACAGCTCCTGCAGGAAGTGAATCCCAGATTCCCAGTGCCCATCTCAGCACCAGGAAATCCATAGGATGCTTTTCCAAAGCAGAGCAGCAGAAATGAGCAACAGGGTCAGGATTTGACACCCAGGTGGTGTCAGAGCCTTCAAAAAGTGAATTATTTGCTGTGGGGAGAGCAGGAGCGTGGATGGAAGGTGCACATTTGGTCTCATTCCCACAACCAGCGTGTCCTCCCGTGGGATTTGGGGCTGAATTGGGGTTTTGGTGTGAGGAATGTCTGTGCCCTGTCTGTGTTCCAGTCCCAAAGGTGTGGATGGAGCAGGAAGGGTCTGTGGGCTCAGGGGTGCTTTGTGTCACCTCTGTGGGGATTGAGAAAAACCAACCAACATCTTAATGATCAAACCAGAGGTGATCCAGGTGTGGGGTGGGTGGGAATTTGGTGCTGGATATCCCAGGGATGCAATCCTGAACCTCAGGGAATCCTCTGGCGTTGTCCTGCTGCCACAGGCTGAGCCTCCTGTGAAACTGGGGCCAGCAGGGAGCCCTGGACAGGCAGGGAGGGGCTGGATGCAGGTGGGAGCCATGGATGAGCATTCTGGAGTTTGTTACTGCTGTGGGTTTTGGACTGGGATCCACCTGGGAAAGAGGTGCTGGAGGAGCTTGGATTGAGGAGGTGCAAGAGGAATGTCTCCCATCCTTAGATCTTGGATTTCAGGTGGGATGGGGCTGGCTCAGCTCTTTGGACCAATAATGAGGCTGAAAGTTCTGTGGGACTGTCAGGCTTCAGTAAGAACAAAACCAATGTAATGCTGATCAATCGGTCTCCCTCCCCTAAGGCTGGATGGGAAACACTGACAGCAGTGCCTGGAAATCCTGGGATGTGGAGGAAGGAACATCCTGGCTGTCAGCATGGAGCTCGTTATGTTGAGTTGAACAGCACAGGGTGGGAAGGGGGTTTGGTTTAATACCAGGCAGAACGATCTCTGTTTTCTGCTAAATAAAATCCTGACAGGCCTTGATCAGTGCTGAGATCCCTTGTTAGGAATTATTGTCCGTAATTCCCTGGGATTCCTCCCTGAACAGCTCTGGCTGTGTCCCTCTCTGGAGATCCCAGGGATTTTTATCCCTCCCGGAGCAGAAAATGGCCATGGCAGAGCTGGTGTGTGCAAAGCTGCAGAAAGAAAACCCTGGGATGAAAGAATGCAATTTAAACACATCTAAACAGGGAAACAGCATGATTTGGAGAATGGCTCTAATTAATTAGAGTTTCTTCCCAGGGTTCTGATGAGTGTTGGAGCCAGGAGGGGACCCGGAGCGTGCAGTGTCTGTAAAACCCTGCTCCGTGTGCCCACTTCATTAATGGCTTTGCTGTGCTGTGTTGGATGCTTTGAGGGAGACCACGAGGCCCTAATTGGTAAAACATGTCCAGTGCAGACATCCCTGTGCCCTCCTGCTCGGCTTTCCCTGGAATCTGTGCTTGCCAGGGAGGATGGGGATGAGCTCCCAATGAGCATCTCTCGATGAGCTCCCAACCCATTCTGGGGTTCTGTGATCCCTGAAAGTTCCCTTTGGGATCCCAGCACCAGCGTCACTGGTGATGCTGCTGGTGCAGGTTGTTAAATTTGGAAGATTTAAATCAATTCCAGTGTTTATACAGTTCCCTGTAAATGCATTTTTTTTCTGGTGCTCCACTTGGCTGTATCCTTAGGGACAGGAGTGCTCCTGGTCCTGCTTTAGGAATCTGCAGTTTTTTGGAGTTTGCAGTTGTTCTGTGGGGTGTTTTTAGCAGAAGGGTGTTTTTCCATGGAAGGTGTCAGGGATAACACAGCTCCCAGTGCCACCTCAGCCCCTAGGGTGACAAACAGCATCTCACTGATGGAAATCCTGCAGAAAACACTGCAGCAATCCCTCTCCTGCCTCTTGCCTTTCCTGATTTATGGCTGTCCTCAGGAGATGGTCCCTTCCAGCCCACATCCCTCACGTCCAGCCCTGTCTGCTCCTTCCTTGCCCTTCCTCCTTTGTCAAGTCCTTGAGTGCAGTTCAATTTTGGGTGGTGCTGTTTTTGTTCTGACAAATGTTTTTGGATAAGGGCCTGTGTTTCTCAGGGTGGTGTGAACTTGATTCCACGAACTGATTCATCACCACCACGTCGGGGTGCAGGGCCCAATTCCTGCTTTTCTGTTAAATCCAGGAAGGACCTGGAGCGGTGGCTCTGGTGATGCATTTGCAGAGGTGATTTGATCACTTTTCTGGTAGGAATAATAATAATAATAATAATAATAGTAACAATAATAATAATAGCAGTAATAATAGGAATAATAATAATAGGAATAATAATCTGGACACTCAGAGCACTTGAGAAATGTTTATTAATGGAGCAGAGTGAAGGAGGTGTTTTCTCAGAGGCACAAAGGGAGACACAAAAATA